ACTCATGACTAGCTTTTTGGTAAGGGCAGGGATAAGTTAAAGACTATGACTACCGAAGTTGCTTGTCATAGTTAAAAACAAACAGGAAGATTTAATGTAAAGATAAATGGATACAAATTGATGTATTGAATTGGGCAAGGCCAGATGAGCAAATAGTGGAGAAAGTGGCTATAACAGTTATGTTACACAGAGGAGACTTTAAATAACAGCTGAATGGGAAACAGTAGTACATACAGTATTCTGTTGTATTCTATCTTCCATATCTTCATACAGTCTCTCTCTTCTCTCCCCTCTCATCCCCTCTCCCTCATTTCAGGGAAGAGAGGGGGATAGCACTACTCTCATCCACTGGTTCACTCCTCACATAGCTTCAATAGCCAAAACTAAGTCAAGCTGAAGCTGGGCGCCAGAAACTCACTTTAGGTCTCCTACATGGGTGGCAAGGATCCAAGTTCTTTAGCCATTTCCTGCAGCTTCCCAGGATGTGTATTAATAGAAAGATGGAATCAGGAGAAAAACTGGGACTCGAATCTAAGCACTCTGATATGGATGCTGGCATCCAAAGTAGCATCTTAACTGCTAGAACAAATGCTAATGTCTTCATGTATTTTCTTGTTCTTTTCTCAGCTTTTCTTATCTTTTAGCTGCAAGTGGGGCTGGTGGCAGGATTTGGCCAACATTGTTAAAGATTGGCCTTCCTGAATTTTTCTTGTCTGTGGCATTCTGAGCAATTCCAAGAACTAACTTCCTTCCTTCCTTCCTTCCTTTCTTCCTTCCTTCCTTCCTTCCTCCCTCCCTCCCTCCTCCTTCCCTCCTATCTATTTATCTATCTATCTATCTATCTATCTATCTATCTATCTATCTATCATTTCTACTACCTTCTCACTAGAGTCGTCATAAGGACCAGGTTTGAGGTGGTTGGGCCTGAGGTGAAGAAGATGCCCTGGAATTGGATTGCACCTCAGAAATCAGCAGTGTGCAGCATCCTAGATAGGCATATGTATAAAGCATGTCGTGCTTAGAATATCCTCTTGGGTGAGGTAAGGTGGTTGGCAGAGAAACCTGGCATAACTAGCCTTGGTGGAAGGCATGGAGGCTTGATGAATCATGAGTAGAAGGTGAGTATCCCAGTTTGCAGAAAGAGTATGGTTGCACAGATGTTGGAAGAAAAATCAGCCTTTAGGTTATCGGCACCAAGCAAATCCAGGGAGAATCACAAAAACTGCAATCTGTGGGAAAAATAGAAGGGAAGCAGTGAGACCGCCATCCAGAAAGTGCTCAGATGTGAGGCAATTCACCAAGGAAGATACTCCAGTACAAGTCCTTCAAAGCCAGAAACCAAGTAATGGGACCTGGGTCACTAGAGAAAAATGCATGGCAAGGACAAAATAAGAAGTGGTTATAAAAGCAATTTGTTAAGAAAAATCTGTTACAAAAAAAAAAAAAATTCTACCTTAGTGAACTCTAGCATGGAGTTCAGGACCAATATCACCAACTGAATTCCTGGCCAGAGGTCTTTAAAATCTCCCTAGCTATCTGAGTCTAGAGTCTGGCAGGGCTCAGCACTCAGGCTGAGCTGCATTGCCTTTGGTCTGGGCAGTTGAGGAATGCAGGGCAAACAACCCTCTGATGCTTCCCTTGAACTGTTGCCTCTTTTCTGGTCAGGTGATTTTTATTAATTTTTCTATTTCCATTTCTAACTTCAGCAAAGGAAATTCTCAAATGGCAGATTGCTCCTAAAACTCGAATTTTGGAGTTACTCATGAAAAGGGGAAATTTGTTTAACTTTAAACTTATAATGCTAAATATAGATTAATTTATGTCTGGAGACCAAAGTATCATTTTTAATTGAATTTGATGTCTATGTATTTACATTTAAATAGTTTTTCTGGGTTTTATTAACAGCAACAAACTTGAAATGATTTTTTAGTTATGTGGCCTTCATGTGTTTTTTGCTTCTTAGATGGTAATAGAATGTTCTCTAAAATTTGCTTACCTCCCTAACACAGGTGGATTTTTATTCTTTATTGAATAAAACTAAACCTTCATACTTGTCTTAAGAAATCTTTTCTACTAATTGAATTGTGGTCTACACACATTAGAGTGAATATATCATAAATATACAGCTCAATAGGTTCTCAAAAGCTGAAGACATTTGTACAATTAAAGCTCAAATTAAGGAAAAAAGACACACACACACACACACACACACACACAACCAAATGACAGCCCCTAGTTAGTGCATACCTCCCAAAGTTGCCAGCATCCTAACTTGTAGTACCATGGATTAATTGGAGTATGTACAAGTTTGTTATGTATTATAACAAATTTATATAATGTCATAGAAACTTACAGTAATACTCTTTTTAAGTCTAAAGTTTTTTCCCAACACTGTTTTGAAGTTTGTCTTTACCGTTAAGAGAAATTTGTAGTTGATTTATTCTCTTTTGTGTAGTATTTCATTTGAGGAATTTTTCATAATTAATTTATTCTGATGAATATCTGAGTAGTTTCTGCTCGGAGCTGTTGTAAATAGGCCAGATACAAACATTTTAGTGGATGTCTCATGAAAACATATACATATATTTCTGTTGGGTGATGTGGACTTGCTGGGCCATAGTTTATATATATTTTCTTAATTTTAGTGGAAGATGCCAAATAAGCCATGTTTGAGAGTTTGAATTATTCTGTATCCTTGTCAACTCTTTTATTTACCATTGCTATAATTTTGCCATTATAGAACCTGTGTTCTGGTGTTATTTTGGGTTTTAACTTTCACGTCTCCGTTGACTGATGAAGCTGAACAACCTTTATATGTTTATTGAATATTTGTATATATTCTTTCTTAAAATTATCTATTCAAGATTTTGTGCATTTTTTTGTTTGCCCATTATTTTTTAAACAGATTTTAGTTCTTTCTGTAATTTGATATGGGCCCTGTGTTGAACATGCGAGGAATGGATGTCTTCTCCCATGCTCTGAACTGTCTCTTTGTTCGTAGCAAGTAAGTAATTTTAACATGGTTCATTTAAAATCTGTTATGGTTGGTACTTTTGATAACCTATTTAAGAATCTTTGTCTACTTTAAAACTGGAAAAATATTCCTGGTTTTTTACTAAATGTTTTGTTGCTTTCACCTTTCACATTTGAATTTGAAAGGTATATGGAATTGAAATTGGAGTGTGTGAGTGTGGGGAGGCATGAAGACACTTCCATTCTCCCCATATGGAAATTCACTATACCAGAACCATTTCTTAGAGTGGCCATCGTTTCCAGAATGCAATACAATGAATAGATTTTAATAGGACATTTTTAGAGAAATTTTCAAAAATGTTTTAAGGCCCAAGCAAATGTCTTTCTTCATTGATACTAAAACTTTTCTTTAACTTGCCATGAATTTTAGATTGCAGTGAAAACTCTTTGCTATCAATATATCTTAACATATCAGGACAAGGGATGTAAGAGCATTGTTGTAAAAGCAATTATCTTGTAGAAACAAATTTTCTAAAACACAGGCAGTCTAGACCCTTATCCTATTCTTCAAACCAATTAATGAGATACCCCTCCACTCCTCCTTTGGCTTTCTAGCTCACAAAATAGCTTTTTCCTGTATATGAAACAGAAAAAAAATAATTTGTAAGTATCAATATTAGGCTCTCAGGAAAATAAATATCATGATACCTGTTTTCCCCACAGAGAAAAAGACTTGTTTTTTCAGTATTCCTACCCTAAATTTTTCTTTATTATTCCAGTCTTTTACAAAAATGGCCCCTTTAGGTTTTAAGGAATCTTGAGAAAAAAATGGAGTTGGGGCTTTAGACTACAAACTATTTCAAACACCTCTCTTTAGTAAAAGAGTGCATCTTTTTAATTAAACAAATATTTTGTGAAAAATAAAGATATTTTAAAGGTAAATGAATTCTGTTTTGCCTGAATGAATTTTTGCTTATATTCAGATAAATATTGACACAGTTATATTCCAAACACTGAAAATTGTTACTTTCATATACATGTATATTTATAAATGTATATACATACAGTCTTACATAAGCACATAAAAGACCCTTTTATTCCAGGAGTGTGTAATCAAACCATGCTTATTAATATATTTTCAAAATTACTACACATGAATATTATTTTCTAAGTATTTATATGTCCTCATAATCTGTTTTACTGTCTTAAAGCCTATGCTCCTAAAGAAACTTAACTTTAAAATAGCCCCCTTTACCCATTTACCATCACATAACATATGTTATAAATGATTTTTGAAAAAGATTTATTTATTTCAAAGGCAGAATTACATAAGGGAAGGGAGAAATCAATCTTCCATCTGCCGCTTAACTCCCAAAATGGCCGCAGTGGCTGGGACTGGGCCAGGAACTTCATCTGGGTCTCCTATGTGGGTGGCAGGGGCCCACGTTCTTGGGCCATTTTCCACTGCTTTCCCAGGTACATTAATAGGGAGCTGCATCAGAAATGGAGCAGCTGGCACTTGAACGAATATCCATATGGGATGCTGGTGTCACAGGTGGCGCCTTAACCTGCTATGCCACAATGCTGGCCCCTTTGAGTGATTTTTGACGTTGATGTTTAAGGTTAGGTCTGTAACTAATCAAAAAACATGGTTGCATTTGTAACAGATTGTTATGTGTTAATTTTATCCCAGGGAAAGTATCATTTGCAGAACCAATTTTAACCTAAGTCTCTTCCAGTATATAGCCTAAAATTTAAATTCATAAATTGTAACATGAACACTGAGATGACACATTTGGCACAGAGCCATTGTAATCCTAGCCTGGAACAGTTGATATTAGACTGTGGGGAAGTCAAGTTACCCAGAGTGTAAGATGTATCACTTGTTCAGTCACACTCCTGTGTCATGTTGAAAATTCATAAAGGGAAAATGAAGTGTGTTAGGAAGACTTGAGTGGCAGCAACCTTGACTGTAGACGTGTAAAATGTAGAAATAAAGAGCTGAGTATTCTGAAGACATAAAGCCCATAGCTTTATCTGTTTAATCCTAGGAAGAAGACACAAAATGAGAACAAAACTTGATTTTATCTCAGAAGGTAAGAAACATTTCACTTTTACAACCTTAGAAGCCTAAAAACTGTAGGTCAGAAGAGCAGTACGAATGCTGCATGGCAAAGGTTAGTTAGTGTTACTTTATGGAATTAATCTCACGGATGATAAGATTGATCAGGTGTGTAAAATATATTGACATCACTCCTGGGACTGTTAGCAGTCTCCTTCGATTTAGAAAGCAGCAAACAGGGGACCATAAAAAAGACATAAAACTACTAGCACTTATATAGTATAGTTTTCATTGCAAAATGACAAATTAGGCTAGTCAAATTCTAGTCAACCCCAAGTAACCACTATAACCTTACAGAGATTGCAGTGCCTCCAAGGCAGATTGGTTTGTTTTGTTGGGGAGACGGGTAGTTGGGGAGGGCAGGAGATCTGTAGCTTTCCTGGAGGTTTTAGCTCCTAGCAGGGAAGAACCTAAAATTGCTGTATTAAGTGATGGATTTTTTTGAACCTTTGTACCACTCTCTCAAATCTAGGACTTAAGATCTATCCTGGGCAGTTTGGGACCCTAGAGTTACTGGAAGATCTAACTAGGATCTGAAAGGGACTTTTTCTAGGAGTATTCTGGCTTACAAGTAAAAAGAAACATGGAATATTCCTCTAACATGGTATCCCAAGTTTTCATTTGCTAAAATAGATGTCTAGCTTTGATAGCTCTTACATGTAATCAAGATGGTTATTAAACCTATTGTCAGGCCATGAATACAAGTGAGGCCAATCAGATTGAGAAAGCCATATGTTTCTTCAAGAAATATTTTGAGGAAAGAATATGCTGTTCTGATTGTAATGATATTTTGAATCTTAAAATTTTTGATTCACAAAATAATCACATTTTTAAAGTGATGTGTGAAATATAAAAGATGGCTATGATTTGAGAGAAGGAGTAGAATGATATGAACAGTTACATTTTTATTCTTACTATCTTACTAGGATTTTAGGTAATTCATTAACTTGAATATGGTAAATAGAAACCTACTTCTGCCTTTGTGATTTTAACTAGCTGGAGAAGGCATCCAATCTAGAGCATTCAAGAAAAACTCCCATGAGTTTTAGTTTAGTACAGACATTGAAATTTCATTTTTCTATTTTTCTTCTCCTCAGGGAAGCAGAGTGTCATGGTTACAAGAAACACAACTCGGGACATAAAATGCACCATTTATGTGAATCCCAAGGGTCTTCTGCCAAGTAAGCAATCTTTCAAACTCTCAAGTCTTGTGTAAATTACTTCTGTATAGAGCGATTTCTAGAATAGCCAACTTGAACAAATGCTTTCTAGCAACACAAAAATCCATCTGACAAAAGACAGTGATGTGAGAGAGAAGCCACATCATCTTGTTTCCAGCCCTTTTTTGGAGAACTGAGGGAACACTTAATGGCAATTTCACCTGGAAGCTTAATTTTAACTGAGGAACTCCAGGATGTCACACAGTAGGCAAGAAAACCAAGACAGCCAAGTATTAGAAGTTTTTCTAGAAAGATCCACACCAATGGGCAATTAATAAGGCATGATTGAGAGGAAACAGAGGAGAACATAATGTTAAAAAAGGAAATATAGAGAAGTAAGAATGAAAAGGGAGGAAACTCATTTAGCTCGTTTTTATAAGGGAAACAAAAATGGAATTAGAACCTTTTAGTAAAAATACTTTCAAAACTAAATCCATTTTCTAGACTTCCTATGACAATTAATTAAAAAGAAACAAATATTGGCATAAAATTTACTGTTAATAATAGGCTTCGGGGCCAGCACTGTGGTGTAGCGGGTGAAGCCACCACCTGCAGTGCCAGCATCCCATATGGGCACTGGTTCAGGTCCTGGATGCTCCTCTTCTGGTCCAGCTCCCTGTTAATGTGCCTGGGATAACAGCAGAAGATGGCTGAAGTCCTTGGGCCCCTGCACCTACCTGGGAGGTAGAAGAAGCTCCTGGTTCCTGGCTTCGGATTGGCCCATCTCTACTGTTGCAGCAGATAGAAGACATCTGTCTGTCTGTCTCTCTCTGCCTCTGCCTCTGCCTCTCTGTAACTCTGCCTTTCAAATAAATAAATAGATAAATCTTTAAAAAAATACTAAGCTTCACATGAAATTGTCCATGGTAGCAGTGATAGCAGTGGAGGCAGAAGGACATATTCCAGGCATCATTGTTGAGGTACATTCTTAGTTGCCTATAAAGGAATTAGTTTAGCCATCTTTTTGTCCTGAACAATTAGTTGTTGGTGTTCATCTGTAAAATTCCTATTCATCCCTTAAAGCCTAATTCTGAGTCATACCTGCTATCTTGCCTCACTGTTCTAAACCAGCTCCTTCCCACTTAAAGATCCCTCTATTACAATGTGCCTCCTCTATTACAATAGTGCCTTCTCTATTACAATGTTCAGTATATTGTATTATATGTAATTGTTTGTATCTCTCTGTATTCTACACACCTAGTGTCATGTAATATTTGGGTCTTGTTTCTCCCACAGTATTAGCCAATGTGGAGACTTTGGGTTCCTCCATAAGTGGATTTTGGATGACTGAATATACTGCAAAAGGACTTTTGCTATACTGGCACCTACCTTGGTTTTACAATAATTCTCTTCATGACCCGGAGTCATTTGTTTAGTCAATGAACATCAGTTAAGTACCTAGAATTCTCAGGCACACAGCTGCTTCTATTATGTTTGCCATTAGTATCTTTCACTTTTTCTCACCCCTTCCGTTTGTCTTTTTCTCTACCATGTATTTTTTTTTATTGGCACTATGAGGGTGCTAATTTTAATTTGTCTTCATATTTCTCTACCCATTTTTAGAAAGCAAGTATTTTATTTAAAAAAAAAAAAAACTTCTTTATTTGAAAGGCAAAGTTACAGAGAGAGAGGGAGAGACAGAGGTAGAGAGACATCTTCTATCTCCCGGTTCACTCCTCATATGGCCCACAACAGCTTGGGCAGGACCAGTTCAAAGCTAGGAGTTTGGAACTCCATCAAGGTCTCCCACGTGGGTGACAAGTACTTGAGCCATCTTCCACTGCTTTCCCAGGCACCTCATTAAGGAGTTGGATCAAAAGTGGAGCATCTGGCACTCAAAATGGTGCTCCTATGGGATGCCAGTGTTGCAGGTGACAGCTAAACCTGCTGTGCAACACCAGTCCCAGCTAACAAATAATTTCAAAAGGAAAGAAAAAGCTACCTAATCTTTCTTTTCAAAAATTGATTTTGTTATCTAAAATTTCCTTTCTGTTATCTTCTGTGTGTTGATATACATGCATGGTTGCCTATTTTGTCCTGTCATATTCATAAAGACTAAATCTGTTATAGTTACTGGGTATTCTTTTGGTAAGAGTTAAGGTTGATCTATAAGGAAAAAATAGTTGCTATTAATTCCTATGTGAATTAATTCATTCAACAAAGATTTATTGATGCTGTAATATTCTGAGGAGACTCTAAGCATGCAAAAGATCTGGAGTTTTGACTTCAGATAGCATTTTGGTTTCCTGACCCTCTCTTTCTTTGCCATAATGGCAAATTCAATAATTTGAATTACATTTATTTATTTTTCTCATTGAAGTTGAATATATACAAATGATCAAGGTCCTTTGGGATTCACACATCTCTTCACAGGTGAAAAATACTTAGAATTTGTAGTTGCCAAAACTGACTTCTGGTAAGAATTTTGTGTATTCTTTTCAGCTATTACTGGTAAGAAAACAGGGATCCAAGAGCCTGTGAGGAGAGAGAACTACACTTTACATAGCTTTTGTTATCTAGTTGGTGGGAACTTCTGTAGTATCTGGGAAAGTGCCCAAACTTTCTTGGATATTTACCAGAATATTTTGTGATTTTATTTCCTTTTTAGTATCCTTACCATGAAATGTAGAATAACCCTTTGTAAATGTTAGTCAAGATAATATTTGTGATTACTAAACCATTAATTGCATTGAATTTTCACTTGACTTGAAAATGTGCTACATTGATGACCATCTCAGGAGTAAGCAGAGTTGTCTTTTTATTTCTAAGGGGACTTTTTCCCCCGTTATTATATATGCTATGGAGTTCTAAATCATTCAAATACATGAACCAAGGGCTTAAAAGTCAAGTCCTATTGGAATTGATTATAACTTAGTAATGAGTAAAAGACTGGTTATATAGCAACTCAGTGACTTCAGATAGTAAAAATAGAGTTTTTGGCCAAATAAATTTATTTCTTTGTTTTAAAAAGTAAAATCCTGTTAAAGGTTTTAAAAATTTTTAATAAATGACAAAATCAACCAACTGAACAAAGACTGCCTTAAAAACACAAAGTGGGCACTGATTTATATATAAGCAAACTGCAGTCGAGGACCCTACAAAGTTTTGATCACAAAATTCAAAGAAGTTTGTGACTGAAAATGAAATATAAGTATTTCAATCTAATTAAGTAATGTGGCTCAGGCTGAAGTTACACACAGAGAGAAGGAGAGGCAGAGAGACAGAGAGGTCTTCCATCTGCTGGTGCACTCCCCAGATGGCTGCAATGGACAAAGTTGTGCCAATCTGAAGCCAGGAGCCAGGAGCTTCTTCCAGATCTCCCTAGTGGGTGAAAGGGCCCAAGGACTTGGGCTATCTTCTACTGCTTTTCCAGGCCATAGCAGAGAACTGCATTGGAAGTGGAGGAGCCGGGACTCGAACCGGTGCCCATGTGGAATGCCAGCACTGCAGGCAGTGGCTTTACCTGCCACGCCACAGCACCAATCCCTGTTCCTTCTTTCTATTGTCACAGAATCATTTCCTTTCTCAAAAATGTTCATTTTCCTGTTACTTTTTTTTTTTTTTTTTTTTTTGACAGGCAGAGTGGACAGTGAGAGACAGAGAGAAAGGTCTTCCTTTTCCATTGGTTTATCCCCCAGTGGCTGCTGCGGCCAGCACACCGCGCTGATCCGAAGCTAGGAGCCAGGTGCTTCTCTTGGTCTCCCATGCGGGTGCAGGGCCTAAGGACCTGGACCATCCTCCACTGCACTCCTGGGCCACAGCAGAGAGCTGGACAGAAAGAGGAGCAACTGGGACAGAATCTGGCACCCCGACCGGGACTAGAATCCTGTGTGCCGGCGCCGCAGGTGGAGGATTAGCCTAGTGAGCCGTGGCGCCGGCCTCCTGTTACTTTTGTTTGGATTCTTTGCCAAGGGCTTCCAGTCTGAATACATGTTACTTGTCATCCTTTTCAGTGGTCTCTACATGGTGAAGTTGGGTTTGGGGAGGTTGGGTAGGGGAGACTGTGACAGGGCAGTGAGGAAGAAACTAGAGGGTTCATATCCTTTATTCTTCACTCTAAAATTTCCTAGGAAAATTATCCAATGACATAACATCCAGTGCTCTGTACCAAACCTTGACACTAAAATGTACCATAAAATATGATCACTGGATTTGATAAGGTACTGAACTAATTCTTTTTGTGCAGTAAAAGCTTTCTAAAGAGTTGGTGACCTTTCCATTCCTTTAAAATCTTGTATGGGGGAGAATGTTCCAGAAGTCAGTGGAAACGGAAACTTCATGAAAAGGGCTTATTTTTTTAAGTCAGGAACTTGACACAAAGTAATCCAGCTAATTTTGACAACATGCTTCATAGACTGTCTATATTTGGTAATTATCCATTAATAATAGGCAATTTACATTAGTGAGGTAACTCATATTGACTATAGCTCCGTTTCTTTGCTAATTCTCTGGAAAAATAAATAAGTGTGGAAAAATATGAAAACATTTTCCTTGGCTATTGATATATTTCAATTTTCTCTTATACACAGTTGCTGGTATCAATTCCTATCATAATTTCCATTACAGTTCAAAATTTTTGCCCTAGCACTCTACTAAAATTATCCTACAGAAGGCTATCAAAGGCCAAAAGTACCCATGAAAGTTTAATTTTGGACTAAAAATTCTAGAGCTTACTATAGCATTTACTTATTCCACATATGATAGTATTTTCTCTGATGATCATACCTTTATTTTGCGAACATTTTCCTCTACTTGTCTTTAACACTTATCTGTCCCGAATTTCTTGCTACCTCTGTTTTCTAAGCTCTCTTTCTCTTAAATGATCTCTTTCATATGCCTTTAATAATCATATTATACAGAAATATTTCAATTAACCTTAAGTTCTTGTTGCTGTTATCTTTTCTAATAAATCCAATTACTCCCTTTTTATAAATAAGTTTAATACCTTTCTTTTCCTGCCAGCTCTTATCTTTCTTCTAAACTGCTGACCTATTATTTCCTCTGGGATGTATCAACTCTGTACTGTAGGTAAAAATATTTCCTCAAAACTTTCTATCTTTTCCCTCATCTGTCTTGTTTCTGATTTTCTAAGTATACATTATAATTGCAATTTCTTTTAATCTGGAGCAATAAGAAATCCTTCTTTATTAATTTTTCTAATTGTTCCTGCCCTTATCCAACCAAGAACATACATTTTTCTCAAACATGTAAGGATTTCAGATTTATAGCACTCAGGAGTACTTGGAAAATAACAGCAGTGACTAAAAAATTCAAGAGGCAAACAAAAATCAAGGTCTTTGGGGCAGGCATTTGGCCTGGTGTTTAAGTCCTACCAGGTGTATAGGAGTGCCTGGATTTGATACCCATCTCTGGCTCCCAATTCAAGCTTCCTGCTGAAGCAGATTCTGGTAGGCAGTGATGATAGCTCAAGGTCTTGGATTTCTTCCACCCAACTGGATTGGCAAAATGAATG